GGGGGGGGGGCACCGACAGGCTCATCTGAAAGAACCTGGTGACGCAGCTGCAAACCCCCCTCCAGCTGGAGCCCCCCTGGCGCTCCGCCCCTGGAAGGTCGGCACAGCTGCATCAGACCGACGCTTCCTGCGCATCAGTCCTGTGTTTGCTTTTAATACATTTCAGTCACTTACATTGCAAGCGACTCTCCTGCAGCATAAGAGGCGAGCTCATTCCTTTGGAATGCCCCCCACCCACCCTGGAAGGGCCCAGAGCCTCGGCGGGGAGAGGGTTTTCATTAGACCCAAGGAGCTGACCGTGTGCTCCAAAAACAAGCTGGTCCCCCTTTCAGGGATGAAACAAAGGCTCCTCTGCATCTCAGCCTGCAATGCTGGTGATGCAAGGAGCCTGAAATTCAGCAGAAGTCATGGAAATGAAAAGTGCTGCTATGGAAAATTCCTTGGTGGCCTGCTGGTGTGTCCCCATGGCAGCTTGGGAGTCCGAAGGGCCATGATGAATCGAACCACATGCATGCTGCCATGGCTGGGCCAAGAGGTAGCCTCCGACCAATTCCTCACCTGTCAGGTGGCACATCAGACCCAGGAGATGTCCCCTCACATCGCAGAGTGGACGCTGCCGGCTGTGGGCTGCTCCAGCAGAAGGCAGCCCCTGAGCCTCAGGGAAGCTTAGGCAGCAGCTCCCAACATACCAGCACTCCCCGGACCTACGCACAGTCCAGCCAGCAGTATTATCATACTTGTGCACAGTGGTCAAAGGGCTGTAACTGCTGTCATGCTTTTTAGTGACCCTATTTTTATTCATTGCAACAGTGTTTACACACAGTTGGGGTATGTATCCTTGGCTCGGCCTGCAGACGGTCCCCAGGCTCACGTTAGACTCCCTGCACCCACTCCCTGCACCCCCAGCCCACTGTGCAGCCCTGGAGGCTGTGGTGGATTGGGGGCTTCCAGAGTCCCCTCAATCAACATGAAGTCCTATGTGGGCCTGGGGTGCCTTGCTGAGCACTGGGTGCAGCAGTGCAGGGGTTCCCTCAGGGCACTGGTGGTCGGGGTACAGCCAGGATTACTGAGGGTTTCCTCTCTGCCAGGCACCTTGCAAAGCATTTTGTGTGAAGTGACCTATTTAAGCTTCACTACAACTCCATGAGACAGGTACCACAAAAGAAACCCATTTCATAGTTGAGGAAGTTGAGGCCCAGGGAGGTAAAATGATATTTCCAGAGTTACACACAGTGGTGGAGCCCGGATGCTGACCCAGGCAGTCTGGCTCTTACTCCCTGACTATTTTCTGGAGGTGCTAGACTGGAGGATGCCACTGAGAGGCCCAAAGGAAGGAGAGTAGCTCTGTGTGTGTGTGTGTGTGTGTGTTGGGGGGGGCTTAAGACCAGGACAGATGTTCCTGGCAGAGGGACTAGGCAAAGGCCTGGAGAACGCATCACATTAAACATTCAAGGGTGGTGAGTGAATTGAAATGGCCAAGAGTGATGCTGTGGGATGGGACAGAGATCAGGAGGGAGAAGTAGAGTCAGTTCATCACCAAGAAGGCCAAGGTGGCTTGTCTTTATCCTGAAGGCCTGTGCTTAGAGGCAGTGCCAGCTAAGGCTGAGTTCTAAGGAGTGCCTTTTGCTCTGAGGCTTGGCCAGTCAAGTTCATGATAACTGTGCTCTTTACCATTTCTAGGAGACTATAAACATGTTTGAAAGGAACATCATCGACTTGGTAGGGCTCTTTATTGAAAACGTCCAAAGCCTATATCCTTTCCCCTGTGAACTTCCCTGGGGAGGCGCTACTGGGCCATAGTGTTATCCTGCAACAACACCGCTCCCCCTGCCTCCAGGGCCTCGGGACAAGGTGCCTGCATGTTTAACAAAAGGCAGGGAAGGGTGAAGCTCCATCACAAGCTGGACAGGATGCAAGGATCCCTTCCAGGTGACCACTCGTGGAGTCAAATGCCCGCCCCCTACTGCCCCCAGGGCCTAAACATGTCAGAGAGTAAAAAGCCAACACTTCCCTTTCTACCAGAAAGATCTGTCCCTCCATCAAGAGGAGCCTATTGAGTGGGAATCTCCACCTTTGAAATTAGAGGAATGCGAAACCTCCAGATTTTCACCAAGGAAAAAAGCTCACCTTCAAAGGATGGAGATTGGGCAACCACTTGGGGTGTTCAAAGAATGTCCCCTGGGTCTGAGGGAGTTTTCCCACCCTCAGAATAGTGGCAGCCTTGTCCCAGTAACCCCTGTAGGGTTGCTCT